AACACAGCTGACTTCAAAATTCAAACCATAATGCTGTTATATTTTCTTCTTCAGTGGATAATTGCTGATACCTGAATATTTACTTTTAGGGGGAAAATATAAACATTGCATTAAAGTTTGCAAGTTATAATTTGTCATGTAAAAGGAAAATTTTGTAATGTCCCAAGAAGTAGATCACTGGCAGACCTTTTTATTCCTGAATAAAACCCAATTCTTTATGCTCATCAAGTAATTTTGTGGAAGAAAGGACAGACTACTCATAAAAAATGCAGAAGAAACTAGCTTGCTTTTTACATACCAACTCCACCGATACATAGCTTAGTAATTTGGCATTTTAATCTATGCCAACTCATCATATATTGTACTTCAAAGAGCTATATGCAACTTTTTGAAAATCGACAATTCTGACAATCTGAAAGCAAAATCACATTGTTTCAAATTAAGCTGTTAAAAATTAAACCAAGAATTTCTCAGCCACAATGCCCCCACCTTGGGGTTATTTTCTGTTCTTTAAATGGATTGCCTACCTTCCCATACATAAGATTCAAATCCTGCAGCTATTTTCAAAATTGTGTTATTTATCAGGAAATATTTTGGAAAGATACTCAGGAAATAGTATTCATAACAAAGCATTTAATAGGACAAACCCCGTAAGAGTTATATAGACTAAATACATAAATAAATTATGCACAGAAAATTGGTTTAGGGAAGTATATGCATTACATTCTTAAACTGAAAAATATCATTCATATTTAGGTTTATAAACATGAGAGTTGGGAACTACTGAGTTCTTTTGGCTAAAGCCCAATATTGGCCTTATTTCAGTTTAATTGGAAGAGGATCTTGAATTCATCTTCTCCATGAGATATCAGGAACCTGGATTTCTGTTTGTACCAAAGGTTAATAAGAAATGTGTCTGCAAAAGTCAAACAGCATTAAATACCAAAAACTGATTATTATTCTGCAGGAGTTGTTCTGTCATTCATAATCTCTCCATGCTCCAACCTTCCACAGCTAATCTTTAATGGATGACATGCAGGAAAGAAAAATAACATCTAAAAAGGGACTCTAAAGTGAGCTTTGAAGAAATGGAAAATACTTTACTTCTGTGCTGAAAGTTATTGCCACCCAAAGTTTATTACTGGCAAGATTACTTATTTCCTCTCACCTAATGGATATTAAATCAAATTAACTCTAAACTAACTGCCACCTGGATATTTGTTTTTACTTTTGCTATTAAATATATTGCATATGCATGCATATTCAGTAATTATTTTTCTAATTTTAATTTAGAAAACTTCAAATAATGTTCATTAATATTTCCACACCATATTCAAGAATTCCAAAATACCACAAGTGTATATTCACAACATTTTCATAAAAAAAGATCCGAAATAGGGACCTCATTGTAGGTATATTGCTTTAGTTTCCAAGAGACTGAAAGTTGCATGATATACACCACCATGTTAGAAGTACTGCTTTCCTCTTTTTCCACACTTTATTTCCTATCATTACCTTGGTCTTTCAGAGATCATCTACGGAATGCTAATACAGTTTTCAGGCATTAAAAATGGTGTGAAACCCCTAACAGGGCTGCACTCAATCCTGCTGAGCTGATGGTGATTTAAGAAATATTTTGGAAACATTATTATTAAGATACTGGTATAAAAAAAACCCAACTCATGGAATAGCTGTTGCTACAGAAACATAGAAGGACAAATATTTTTATTATATTTTTGTTCAGAATTATTCTTAGGCTCAATATATACTCTGATAGCAACAAAAATATTCCAGGAGCTCCAGTTCTGATGCCAGCTATGGGATATCTTGCTGCAGGAATGGCACTATGAGAACAGGGCTTAGATATTTTTTCCAGTCTAGAGAAGTTACCACTATGATCTATAACTCTCCCTTACACTCAACCACCTCCTTCCTCTAGAAGTTCATATATATAACTCCTGCTTAATTCTTCTATTAGGAAAAAATGAAGTCACTTACTATATCCATCCAAAGTGAGATCTGTTCTCTCAGCTAGTTGTTTTGAAGACTTACTCCTTTTCAATGCCTCCATCTTGATTTTCCCATCTGTCCTGGGAAGATGCATGCTCCTTCCCCTTTCCACTCCCTCAGGTGGCACCCATTCCCTTTCTGTTCAACATATGAAAGTTCTGCACACCCAAATTTCAGATCTGGCTATTCTGCATACCCGCTTCCTACGTGCTGTTCCCTTTTTGGCTTACACTACCCTGGTATCTGTTCTTTTACCATGTGCACTTCCCTGGGTTTTCCTGATCTTGTCTCCACCTCTGTTCTTCTTCATGACAGGGAGTGAAACTAACAGTGCCTTCTGACATTGGGTCAGAATGACACAAAATCCAGCAGAAGAATAATGAATAAACTGCAGGAATTTCTGGTAACTATGTTCACCAGAAATAATAATCTCTAATGCCTAAAAGTCTGAAATCAAAATCTTAAATTCTCTAATTTTCTTTTGCCATAACTAGCTGACATAAAGATAGGGATTCAAGGAAATTTTAAAATAAATTTTCAAGGCTAGCTAGCAAAATTTCAAAATAAAAACATTCTGAAAATAAGTTATTTACTTCACACTGTATTATACTTTTCCTCCATCATGTATATCTTCTGTTTTAATCCTACTTTTTCTTCTTTTCTCATGAAGCATTGCACAAGTTCACCCTTTTATTCTTCAAATTTTCCTTTGAATAATGTAAAAATCATAAACTGACAATCTTTGGATTATTTGTTTCTGTAGACTGTTGTAGCTTATGCCCTTTGTCTTCACTTTTCAATTATTTCCATAGGTTTAGGTAAAATCTATCAATTAGAAAGTTACCTTTTAAAACAGAATTCTAATATTCCTCAAAGTAGATAACACTTTTATGGTGTACCTTTCTTATGTTCTTTACAATATAATTTTGTGGAGTCACTTACTTATCATAAAGTCAGTACTAAGTAATAATAAAAATGCAAACACCCATATTTACAAGCTTCACTATACCATGTGTTACACACTGCAGTAATTAAACATTAACTAGTAACCTGAAATCACAGCAGCATGTGTACTCTCTTCCTCAAAGAACTTAATGCAGGGGGATAAGTTTTTCCTTGAACACACCGTCTGTTCTTTATTAGGTTCTGCTTGTCCATTAGAACTCTCCCCAAGGCTTTTATGAGAGAGATACACACAGGCTTCCACAAATCCAGTTTGGCTCACATAATTCCAGATTTTAAACCATTTATCTAAATTTGGTAACATTCTTAGAACTGTAAGACAGGAAGCAAAAAAAACCTGTGAAATATTAACAATGCTTCCTTTTGGCAAACAGTTTAAGTAGTAAGGAGCCTCTTGCCCTCTCTCTTCAGCATTTAAAGGATTTTATACTTCCTGTACTCATAAAAGGAGTAAAAAAGGTTATTTTTTTAAAGGTCATTGTTATTACATTATGAAGCTCTCTTTAAAATTTGAGGTTCTTCCTTTTAAAACAGAATAAGCATGTTAAATTATTCTATCGATATTCACGCCATTCTGTTTTGAAGAGAAAAATATACTTAGGACATCAATAGAAAGTTTAAGCAGTAGTGTAGGAAAACAACAATTTCCTAACAAGTATTTCAACTGCATCCATAAAAACGAAACTCTCCGTGTTTTGACACACCTTTCTTTCCAGGTTTTAATGAGCAATGAACACCTATATCAAAGAGAATCAAGTACAGAGGTAAACCACTGGGCAAATATCCAGGAACAAGCACAAAACTTCAAGCCAAACAACCTGCATTAGCTTTTGGCTGGTGGATATAACAGTGACACATAGTGCAGATTTTTCATTCTTCTGAAAATAACGCAAGCATTTATGTGAAATTAAATAAGAATAAAAATTCTGTCTGTATTTCATTTCTTTCCTAAGATGTTGATTAGATTTTACTTTCTCTTCCCCTGCAACAGAAAATCTAGGAACTCTCTTTTCCATCTATAATATTCACACTATACCATATTCTCAGGAGTTTGTTATTAAATGTAATGTCAGCCATCTGTTTTTCAGTTAGAGAGTTTATCATCTGTCCCTGAAGACAATTACTCCTCCCTTTAATACAAATATTTTGGGGACAACTATTAGTACTATTAATACTCTATGAAGTGTGTGTGATCTATGAGGAAACAATTTTACCAAGCTTACACTTCCTTTCTTAACAAATGATACAATGAATTTATAAAAGCACTCCCATTAATGTATTTTAAACATCTTCATGAAATCCTGAGAGTATTTTTCATATGCTGGGTACATTGTATACACAGTCACGTTTCAATAACAAGAATGCCCAGCTTCATTACATTAGCAGCTTCCACAAGCATAGAATACAAACTGTCTCCATGCTTGTATGTCTATCCAAAGAACAACTAACAACAAATATAAGAACACATTCACTTTCAGCTATAAACTTAAAAACCTTTCCTTCTGAGAATTCATATAAACTTCATTCACTGGATATATGCCATCATCTGAAAAAAATTCATTTCAAAAGAGCAGATTTTTCAAGAACAGCGCAGGTCCCTGGTTGAGGTGAATGTGAGACTATCTCCAAACACGGAGAGGGGGTAGTATTGCTCTGAACCAGCTAAAACAATAAGTGGTATTTGAACTGCTGGTTGAAAGGTAGAGGCACTGGTAATCATTATTTCCCCTTGTTTGTTCAGGACCTTCCAACAAAACAAACAACCTTTTTGTGATTGGATTGACATGGTGTTAACAATGCATTTAATGCCCAAATCAGTATGAATACAGGTAAAGCTCCTACTAATACCAGTACCAGGATGTTAAAGCCATCTATTTTCTAAGCAACTCTAAACAGCCACATATAAAAAAAAGTCAAATCTTCCCTCCTTTAGCAAATAAAGCTAACATTCACTAGGCCACGTCATATAGCAACCACGGGTACTGTATGAGCCATACAGCCATCTGTTAAACGCTTGCCTACTGTACCTGCAATCCTTTCTGCAATCTTAGCTTCTGTAGCTCTGTCTTGCAATTCTAAGTCCAGTTTCATTGTCTTCAGCTCCATGTCCTTTTCGGCCAGCTTATCTTGAAGCTGAATTGAACAAATGTACAGTAAGACTCTTATCTGGCTGAAACTGTCAATAAGTAATTCAACCACAATAAAATTGTAAACAACGATTTCTCTCACCGCAAAAATACAGACGCTAAGCATTAAAACAGAAGTTCATTTTATTATATTTATTTGTATAAAGAATAAACGTTAAGAATATATTTTTTAACATCTGGACTATCTTGCTCTGTAAGACAAGTAGCAATGAATATGCCATTTTTTTTTTTTGGGATTCTCTTCCTCGGGTATCACCAGCTTTAGTCCTTCTTGCTAAAGAAGTTCAGAATTGCATGGAATATAATGTAGATGGTTGCATGAATAACCTGTTTCCTACCAAGATACAGACATCGCAGTCTGAAAAGACTGGTGTAAATGCGTATTTTTTCATGTTCTTCATCAGATGGAAGACTGGTATTTTTTCACATATCAAGGCCTTTATTTTAAAGAGTATTCACTAAATCTGTAATTGGACAGATATCTGAGCTTGAATATTCAGTGACACTTCATGGAAAGACTAGAGACTTTTAGGTTGTTTAGGCACATGCAACCACAGCTAACACTAGAAGGAATGCACTGTTCAAGGAAGATGGAATTTTCTCCCCTTCAATAAAGACGAATTATCAGGGCACATTAATTGGATTCTACTCATGAAATCCTGGTCTAGTCTTTGGTCTTCATTGGTTTTCATCCAGGGTGCAAGAATCTACGTCATTGATGGAAAAAGTCAGAGAGTAGGTTGGAGCAGTTTTTTAATTCCAGAGAAATAGTTGTTAAGCAGATACTAAGAATCCAAAATGACAGGAAGCTAGTGATTGGTGCACTAAAATAAAGAAGAAAACTAAATCAGGCACAGTTCAAGATGTATGTTTTGCAAGGCAATTATAAAAAAGCAAATATTAGTATCTTGAATATCTCAACTGTACCTTTTTATTTTTGGCCCTCAGAGTGTCCAATTCTTTTAAAAGGAATCCAGTTTCTGTTCTTCCACCTAAATCTTCAGCATCATTCCATGAGGATATAAATTCAGGGAGTGTCCTGTTATCGTTTTTTTCCACACTGTTGTATGTTGGAAGGAAAAAAAAAAAAGAAAAATAATTTTAAAACCAGTTGTTGTTCCACCCCTCTGAAACAAAATGCACAGAAATAAATTATCAAAACTTGTTAATAAACTTGTTAGCCACTGCAAATGTATGAAACAGTCAGAAAAAATGGATGATCTTCTACCATTTCTTAAAGCTGTAATTCTGAAAAGAATCTGTAAATCTGGAATAGTAAATCAATATCTGACAGTACTAAGGCAAAAAAAAAAAAACCAAAACCCAGATGAATATAAATGGGCTATGAAGCTTATAAACAGCAAATGCTTAAAGAAAGGAAATACTAAAAACCATTGCTTGACAGAGAGAAAAAAAGTAATAAAACATTTGGGGATCAAACTGATGCTCAGGTTTAAGCAAACCAAAATTTTTTATAGGATAATTCCACAGGAAGTGATATGAGAATATCTGTAAGAAAAGATCTAAGAATTAATCTTGAAGAAATCTTTAAAATTATGGTATGATTCTAAATATTATAACTGAAAACAGGAATTCCATCCTGCATGTCACCTGGAGTTTTAAAATAACTTACTGGCCATAGACAACTTAAAATAAGACAAGATTCAATGACCAGAAAAATTCTGTCTCAAAGTAAGACTTTACAAAACTTCTTGGGTATCCATTTTTACTCACAGATCACTCAGATCTCACTTGTAACATGGCAGAAAAATCAGTAAATGAATGATTAGAAAGTGAGCTAGCAGATGCTTTCCTTAAGCATTTTCTGGTTATACACTTCCTAGCTAATAATCAATAAGAAGTAGCAGCAGAAAAGATATACCTTCTGAACTCTTGCTTCCAGTCTAGACATTACTTTATATGTAATTCACATCCTAGAAAGATAAAGATCATCCTAGAAAGATAAAGCAATAGCTAAAGATTTATTGCTCCAAAGAGGCAGACAGCTGTCTGTACTCAGCCACCCTTTTTTCACCTGCTTTCACTGTATTTTCTCCTTAAATCTAAAAATGACAAATCACATTGACAGTAACCAGGACCACCACCTAAAACACAAACCAACTCTGACTTAACATTTCCTGGGTTTTTCTAGATCAAGAAATGTTAACATATATTCTAATTGCAATCAATCTGGGCAAAGATGGGTTTTGGCATATAGCTTTAGGATCCTACATATAACATACTTGGAGCTGAGATGGTTCAACATGATCACTGCTGTGGGAGGTTAATCTTAGTGTTCCAGACAAGCCTGATTGTCAGCAGGAGTGGCGCTGGTGAAAGGTAAAATGAACAATATTTGGGTGACTCTGTGCTGGGCTGTACCTAATCACTCCGGATTATACTTGGCATTTAGTGCAGGATGCATTGCCCTTACAGCAAATCTCAGTGGCTAATGCAAAAAGGCAAAAAGGAAAATGAAAAAGTGTTAAGGATTGGGATTGGCCCAAACAGTCACTGCTAGATCATAATGAAGATAGCAAAAATGGGTGTCAACTCTGCTAGACAGGTGAGGAATTAGTGACAAGAAATTACCAAAATTAATGACACAATGAAGTTTTCAGAGGCTATATTAAACTTTTCAACCATATTAGCCAGTCCTCAGATTCCTGTCACAGACTGCTACAAGGTATTACAGCTTCTTATCTTCACTCTTCCAGCTTCATCTGGACTTCACCCTGCTTTATTCCTGCTTCCTACTCACTCATCTCATTTCAAGTGCTTGTTGTATAAAGCCACAGATACTACTAGGTTTTCAAATCTGTTTTTCTTCTGTTCAGCATGCATTTTCAAAATTCTCTGTAAAGACCACAATCATTGAAATACCCACAATGTGTGATATAAATCATTGCAATGATCATATTTTCTATGAGTGCTAGAGAATACAGAGGTGAAATCCTACATTCCACAAGGGAAAAAGGGCAGATAAGGTGAGTCTAAGTAAAAAGCTGACTTACTGATTGTCATGTGCAAAGCAAATTTCCCTGTATTTACTCAAAAAACCATGTGTATATTGTCAATAATTTGAATCTAGAAAAAATATAGACGGATATTTCTTGGGTTTACCTTGATTCTTCAGAATCAGAATTACAGTCACTTAGGACTCCTCCTCTTTGACTGGTTACTCGCAAATCTGAACGTTTTGGTGCTTCAGTTTCTGCCTGGATAAAAAATTCTTTGGGTTTTTGAGAATTCTTATAAAACTGAAGTTCAACACAGAAGTCTTCTTTTTTCTGATTCAAGATGTGTGTTTCTAATTAGGAAGAGAAACAAACACATTTTCTCATTTGGAGAATGAAGCACAAACTTGAGATCTTTCATTTGAAAATGGCTTGTTATAAGAATAGAATACAGTACTAGAAAGGAACAAGTGATTTAGTTTCAGATTCACAATTTCTTTGTCTCTTCACTAAGGAATGAGACCTGTTACCTACAGACGGACATAGGAACTACAACCCAGTTACTGGATTTTTCTCATGGAAACATAAAAAATTAATCATCATTATTCCTTATCCCTCCTCCCCCTTAAATGACTCCTTAAAATAATGCTTACTGTAGAAAATTATTTACCTATCTCTTACAAAATTCAGCTCTACTATGGTGAGATATGATGAATTTCTGCTATACAAAGGGAAATTTTCAGGTTATAATTTGACTCTTACTTATAGTAAGGTTTCTTTCAAATTCATTTTGGCTACAAAAGGAGTATCATCAAGCTGTAATTAGCAACAACATATTTAAAGCACCATTATTCATTCCTGGAGAGTGTGAGGTACAGGCTCATGCAACTAAAGAACTTGAAGAATGCAAAGCAGAAATTGTGCCAAAGGGAAAAATTATCTGATTGAAGTGCTGAGTGTGATAGCTAGTTCTCTTAGCTTGGCTACTAGATATTTTTAGGACATATTTCTGATATCAAGGCATTTAAATGGAAGAAAGATCCACATACCAAGAATGCTCTTTCATAAAGTAAGAACAAGTATGTTTTAATTATAGAATTATATTAAAAAATGAGAAGGAAGCAGCCTAAAACCACTGGAAATGGAAAGAAGGTGCATATATTTTTCATTCTTTCATTTAGATTAGTAGAGAACAAACATTGGAGCTTTTGCTTATTTAATAACGTTAGTGTTTCCAAATATTTTGGATAAAATATAGGGCATGCATTATTTGATCCACCTTATAACATCCTCCTCAAAAATAATAAGAAACTGTCTATACAATTGAAATCAAGTAGAAATCGACCAAAAATACAAATCAATCAGTATCAAGTTACCATCCTGCAGGTAAACACAGTTATAAGTGCAGTTTCCATGTAAAAAATACTGAAAACTGCCTCTCAAGTATGTTGCAAAAGATTCCTCTTTCCTTAAATGAGGAAAGCCACAGCCAAGAGCTCAGGAAACAGCCCAAGGGCCCCAAGAGATGATTTGGGAATTGGCAGGAGTCAGTTCAGCAACTTCCTATATGAAGCTATGCATTACCATCTCCAGGAAAAAGTTATGGGACCCACTGCTATCTGTATTCTCTGCATTCACTTCAGCATAAACTTACTTGAATCCACTCTAACCATTTCTGTAAAGTGCAACCACTGATCTTTACGCTAGAAAAACAAAAGTCAACAGAGCATCAGCATCTTTGTTTCTTAGCATGTGGGGACCATTACCATAAAATATTTTTTGATAAATATAATATTAATTTCAGTACTGTGATTGAAATATGTTCCTCATATCATTTCACAGCTGGTGCAGAAATTGAACACAAGGCCACAGCCACCTGGATTCTTGGAACAAGTGCACGCTTTTTCCACTGGCTTGAAATCCTGAAGGTTTTTGAGCAGATTTCCTCTGAAGTGCTGTTACATCTAAAAACTGGATTTGATCTCTTACTCCTCTTTACAGTAAGGAGCAAGGATCTCTAAATAAACATATGTTAAAAAAAATCACCAAATATATTCTAAGAACCTGACTCAATTTGGGAGTGACAATACATACATAAGGGCAAAATTTTGAATCATTTCCAGTAAGCACTATCTGAACTAATCTAGTCTGAATTTCCACACTTGCAAAGCATTTTACAGGGAGTTGTTTCTAATTTGATTTATATTATAAAGAACTTCCTATGAAATATCATGTTCACTTCTCCTGTTTCAGATGTAGTGACTGTGTAAATGCAGTTGCAAATTATGCTGCAGGGGAGGTGCAATGCTTCACTTGCCATGACAACTTTTCCTCCTCCTCCTCCTCCTCTTTAGGGCATCCACTTATTTTATAAGCTATATATATATGTGAAGTGCCTCAAGTGAAGCGTGTCACATTCTGTGGAAATATTCAAGCACAATGTTGAAATAACCCGTGATGGTGTTGCCAGGAATTTTTGTTCCTTGTTTAGCACCATGGTACTCTGGCCCTATGAAAGTTGGAGAAGAAAAATCTCACTTCAGAGGGCTAAAAAGTTTAGATGATGTTTTAGGCTGCTTCTATTCCCTCAGCATGAGAGCAAGTTTTTCTTCTCCACAGTTCCTGTTTTGTTAATTTGCTCCTTTCATTCCAGGACTTAAAAGAGACCACAGAAGGGTCACTTACGTTGGCAGAGACCACTGGAAATCACCTTGCTGACACCTCAATCATTTGTAACAAGATGTTGTCCCCAGCAACTTCCAGATCACCTGAGCCCTCTGTTGTCCTTCCAGAAGATCACTGACATCACTGTAGTACCCCATGAGAACCTGGACCTTTGAACATGAGGATTCTCCCAATTCTCTGAAGAAGGCCTCATCTACTTCACTCAGCCCTCCTCTATGCCCCTCCCTCTTAGGAGAAGGGCCAAGGCAAACACCACCTGGGTTCCCACACCCTTGATCATCATGCCCAGAGCCATACCATCACATACAACACTTCCCAGGCCACCCCAACAGTATCACTAATGCCTACATGGAAGAGCAGCAGGGAGTAAGAGGCTCAGATGACCATCAGCAGGCTTTCTATAACATTCTGAATATGAGCTGTAAACAAAAGCAAAGGTCTCTAGATGACAGGTCAGTTCAGCAGGCAGATTTTTATTTTTAAAACCAGAAGGGAACATGACTTCATGATGAGGTAAATATCTTCATTAGCAGTTGCACTTCTGCTAAATCCTTGGGCCATGTCAAGATACGTGTTTTTAACTGTAAATTACTGCAGCTAAAGAAAAAAGAGAATTTAGAATAGTCCTCTCGAACTGTATTGGCATTTCTTAATGCTAATGCCGCTTCTTTAGACAACATACATTTGCACGATACCTTTTCATCTAGATTCATTTCCCTCAAGCATATGGCTAAGACTAAGCAGTATGACAGGAAGGCTGTAAGTGGCATTCTTGGAAATATTAGGTGAAACACAGAGGATCTGTTTTTTCTCCACTGGCTTTGTAAGAGAGAAGATGATGTTAGCCTCTTTCACCCAAAACTGAAAGCACTCTGCCCAAGGGCATTAAGGTGAGAGGATTTTACTCATTTAATAAATGTGTAATGGTTTTTTTTAACCAACATGTGAAATTTGTCAGTAGAATGCTTTGGGGAAGACATTTTGAACACTGTCAGATCAATGGACATAGGATTAATTTCATTTTTAAACCATTTTATTCTTTATATAGTCCATGACCCCCACTTCAAATAATTTAGGCTTTGGTACATGGTAGCTTGTCTTGTTGCTAAACCAAGTGGCAATTTTAATCAATGCACTTTAGTGCTTTTTTCCTCATGCCTCCTGCAAATCGTATTGTGCACTAATTACCAATGCTGCAGACACACACTGGGGAGTAAGTAGCATTTGCAATAATCAGGCTGCACAAGGAACATCAGAGAAAGGGTAAAATAGCCTTGCAAGCTTTGGAAAAAATGATGTAGATTTCATTAAATGGTACCACCACTGCTGATTCTGGTTCTTGAATATACTAAACAACATTTTTTCCATATAAAACAGTACAAGTTCAGTAGCCCAGATTAATATTTCACTATAGGGAGAAGCTGAACAGCTGATCTTCTGTATGTATTTATCTTGAATGAATAGCTTGTTCACATTGCAGGAAAGAAAAGCAAATGTTAAGAAGAAGGCATATGAAGACACTAGAATTAAATCTGGGAATTGATTGTGAGGGACGTAAGGGGAAGATAATGCTGTCATGGCTTGAAACAGTACAGGCAGAACAGAATCCAGTGTTGTTACGCTGGGAGTGGTTAAAAAGTCAAGTAAAACCATTAAACACATCATACTGTGCAAGCACCCACTCTTCCTCACAGCTTCTTCTGAGAAGTGGGTATAAGCACTGAGATCAGGGAAAGCACAGAATTAGACAATCCCACACCAACAGTGATAAGTGTACAGAAGGTGCAGATTCAACTGGAAGACTAAAGAGGCAATAGCATCCCTGGTTATACACTCAGAATATTCAGCAGTCCCATCATCCAGCAGAAGCTGCGTGGACACCCCCCTCCCCCTGTCTATAGTCTTTCAGCATCCTACGAAAGTGCACTGATTGCCTCAGAGGTTTGCGGGGAATCTCCCCAGAATAAGAGTAAGGGAAAACAAACAAAAACCAATGGAACATGCACATAGTCTACAGATCTGGTTGCAGATAAGTATGGGGGCATTAGAAGCTCCAGGTGCACCAAATGAGCTTCAAGTGTAATAGTACTTACAGCTTGCTATCTATAGCTTACTAGTATTTGTTTTAAGCTGGTCTGTGGCACAGACATAGTATGTTCTCATCTGTCTGCAAAAGACTGCATGAGTCTGCATGAACCAACCCCTAGCAGGATGGCAGTAAGGATCCTATAATGATAGGAAAAAGCAAAAGCAGAAAGGAAGAGAATGAGCCATACATACGCTGGGAGCAGGAGCAAAAATGACTGAAAATTCAGTAGCTATGACACTGTGACACTGTCAGATTAAATACATTTGAAAAAATGTAGAACAAAACATTGTGTTGCATTTGAGGTACTCAGCCTCAATTAATAAAATCCTCCAGAATTCCTCCTGTTAATCATGGAATCATAGAATGTTTTGGATTGGAAAAAACCCTAAAGATCCTCTAGCTGCAACTCCACTGCTGTAAGCAGGGAGGCCACCCGTGAGATCATGTTGCCCAGGACCCCGTGCAGCCTGGCCTTGAAAACTTCCTAGGACAGGGCATTCACAAATTCTCTAGACAACCTGTTTCAATGCCTCGCCACTCTGTGAGTAAAGAACGTCTCCAAATATCTTACCTAAATCT